TCAGCTCAAGGCTAGCACTCTACCACTTGAGCCACAGCGCCACTTCCAGCTTTTTTCTTTTTGCTTATGTGGTGCTGAGGAATTGAACCAGGGCCTCATGCATTGCAAGGGAAGCACTCTACCACTGAGCCACCTTCCCAGCCCCTACAAATTCTTTTATACCATTGCTCTCCTGAACATTTTAAAGTCAGAGATTTAGATCATGGAGGATTTTTTTTGTGAGTTGTGGGGCTTGAACTCTGGGCCTGGATGCTGTCCCTCAGCTCTTCAGCTCAAGGCTAGCACTCTGCCACTTGAGCCACAGTACTACTTGAGCCACAGTGCTACTTCTGGTTTTCTGGTGGTTGGTTGGAGGTAAGAATCTCATGAACTTTCCTACCTGAGCTGGCTTTGAACTGTGATCCTCAGATCTCAGCCTCCTGAGTGGCTAGGATTATAGGCGTGAGCCACTGGTGCCCAGCCATGGAGGATTTTTTAAATTATAACTTTATTGTTATTAAGATACTGTACATAGGGATTACCATCTCATAAGTTAGGTCACAGGTATGTGCTTTTTCCTTCACCCTCCCCCTAGTTTTCCCCTCCTCTTCCTGCCCACAATTGCGTGGTTCATTTTCTGCATAGTGTCTACTGAGTATCATGCCTGAATCATTTCACCCTTCCTCCTTCCATTTATTTCTGTGTCCTCCATTGCCCCTCACAAGACAGAAAAAAGAACAAACAAAACAAAAAGCAAAACAACAACCATCACTACCAACACCAACAAAAATTCCGTGTTTTTAATCCGAGTGCCAGTGGCTCATGCCTGTAATCCTAGCTACTCAGGAGGTTGAGATCTGAGGATCATGGTTCAAAGCCAGCCCAGGCAGGAAAAGTCCATGAGACTCCAATAAACCACCAGAAAATAGGAATTGGCACTGTGGCTCAAGTGGTAGAGCCCTAGTCGTGAGCTGAACAGCTGAGGGACAGTACCCAGGCCCAGGGCTCAAGCCCCACGACTAACCAAAAAAAAAAAAAAAATTACTATTTTCATGTCCTGAAATTAATTTTAGTAAATAATATTTTAAATGTTCAGAGGTATTATGCCATTGTGTTCTTCTCCTACAAGTATTTTAAGTGTTCAGAGGTACTGCTGGGCGCCAGTGGCTCAACACCTGTAATCCTAGCTACATAGGAGGCTGAGATCTGAGGATCGCCATTCAAAGTCAGCTCAGGCAGGAAAGTCCGTGAGACTCTTAGCTCCAATAAACGACTAGAAAACCAGAAGTGGTGCTGTGGCTCAAGCAGTAGAGCGCTTGCCTTGAGCTGAAGAGCTGAAGGACAGCGCTCAAGCCCAGAGTTCAAGCCCCATGGCTGACCAAAAAACAAACAAACAGAGGTGCTCTCCTCTAAGAGTATCTTCTTTAGTCTTTTTTTTGGGGGGGGGAGGGGTTCCAGTCATGGGGCCTGAACTCTGGGCCTGGGCGCTGTCCCTCAGCTCTTCAGTTCAAGTCTAGTGCGCTACCACTTGAGCCATAGCACCACTTCCGGCTTTTTTTTCTGTTTATGTGGTGCTGAGGAATTGAACCCAGGGCCTCATGCATGCAAGGCAAGTGCTCTACCACTGAGCCACCTTCCCAGCCCCCATTTTTACTTCTTAAGAAGTCTCTTTTTACCTCCTTTGCCCATTTAGTAATTGGTTTATTCGCTTTGGGAGGGGTTAATTCCTTGTATGTTTTGGATAGTAGGCCTTTGTCAGATGTATTGCAGGTAAATAGATCATGAACTTTTAACTGAAATGAGAACCAGAATTATTTGTGGAATTTTTAAGCTTGAGTATTCCCTTTTGTTTTTTGTTTGTTTGTTTTTTTTGGGGGGGGTCCGGTCATAGGGCCTGAACTCTGGGCCTGGGTGCTGTCCCTCAGCTCTTCAGCTCAAGGCTAGCACTCTACCACTTGAGCCATAGTGCCACTTCCGGCTTTTTTCTTTTTGCTTATGTGGTGCTGAGGAATCGAACCCAGGGTCTCAGGCATGCAAGGCAAGCGGTCTACCACTGAGCCACCTTCCCAGTCCATGAGTATTCCCTTTTGTATTAGCATTTCTTTTCCTGTTTGTCATAGTATAGCAGTGAGAACCAATATAATAATTATACCTTGTCTGCTGGAACTCAGGAAAAGCGAAAGCAGTCATTGTCTACTTACATCCTAGGCCGCCCAGGGCTGAGCTCTTGTGACTTGCTCATTTCTAGGGCAAGCAGGCGCTTATTTGGTTACTTGGTGTCCACGGGGAGAGAATTCCCAACGCTCCGTATGTGTTAGAGGACTTCTTAGAAAACGTGAGGTCGGAGACGTTTCCTGCCGTGAAGATGGAGCTCCTTACTGCCCTGCTGCGCCTTTTTCTCTCCCGCCCTGCCGAGTGCCAGGACATGCTGGGCCGCCTGCTACACCACTGCATAGGTATGAGAGGCAGGCTGCCCTCCCCCAGCCTGGAAAATGCCCGTAGCTTTGTTTGCTGAGTCAGTTGTCCTGTCTGGGACCTGGAAGAAAATGTTAGTGCTTCCTAGTGTCTTCACTTTTTTTCTTTTTTAGTTTGCACATGGTAGGAGGATAGCATGGGCTGTTTGTCTGTTTTTATTAACTGAGTCTTGTGTCATCTCAGAGGAAGAAAAGGATATGGCTGTTCGAGACCGAGGGCTATTCTATTACCGCCTCCTGTTAGTTGGCATTGATGAAGTTAAGCGGATCCTGTGTAGTCCAAAATCTGACCCATCTCTTGGACTTTTGGAGGATCAGGCAGAAAGACCTGTGAATAGCTGGGCTCCAGACTTCAACACCCTAGTCCCAGTGTATGGCAAAGCCCACTGGGCAACCATCCCTAAATGTCAGAGGACAGAGCATCGTGGCCCAGAGCTTCCTCCCAGGACATCCTCTGCCACATCAGGTAAAAGCAACTAGTCCTTACTTATGTCTTCATCTCCTGTAATGACTGGTGGAAAGTAGAGTACCCTAGCTAAGATTGTCCCCTGCGTTATGAAGCCTTTGAGCAAGAAAGGAGTTCATCCTTGGTTACGAATCCAAAGACAGAGTCACACAATATATTTTGAGGACGGTAGAATAAAAATGTAGCTTATGCAGATTATCTTCTACAAAAGTTTTCTAACTCCTTTAGGACACCTGACACCTGGGGAGAGCAAGGAGACACTACAAGAACTTCCTGATTCTGATGCTTTGGTACTGGTCCCCAATCACCAGCTTACTGCTGAACATTTTGAGAAGACTTGGCTTAGCTGCGAAGTAACTCATCAGCAGGCGCTGCCTTGGCGGGGAGCGATCCATCCAGACGCTCTGCAGACGGCCCTGCAAGTGGTGAACATTGAGACCATCGCAGTGAGCAGGCCTGGGGCTCAGCCGTGGAAAGCCTACCTCAGTGCTCAGGATGACAGCGGCTGTCTGTTCCTAACAGAACTGCTGTTGGAGCCTGAGAACTCAGAAATGCAGATCTCGGTGAAGCAAAGCCAGGAAAAGATGAGCTCACTGAGCAGTTTTATTTCTGTATTAGAAACTGTGATTGGAACAGTTGGGGACATTAAATCGTAACGGATTCTTGCTCCTTTCCCTAAGCAGATGGACAGCTATCAGAATTTCTTAGGTTTTCCTCATTAGATCTGCTTATAAGTGCAGGTGATATTAGATGCAAAGGAGAGTGGGAAATTTAGGAATGTGGACCCTTTTTTAAAGTTTTTGTCCAAAGACCTGCTTACCTCCTTCTGCCTAATGGTAATGATAAACCCCATTTACAGTAATGGTATTGTAGAGATGATGTTGGTTAAGAGTTGGGGATGAGGTGGGGATAGGATTGGGATCTTTTTCAAATCAGTTTTGAAGGCTAGGTTACTTATTAAATATGCCTGACATCTGTGGAATCTGATGGGTCATCATTTCCAAGAGGTCATCTTTTCTTCAGGGAACTGACTGTTCTCATATTCCTAATCATCCTTTTTTAGGCAAGGGTCCAAAGTATTTCGTGTGGTATCTAAAGTATTTCTTCAGTGTCATATCTCAGCATTATCAAAGCATCCTCTCTTCTGACAGAAGTAAACTGCATGCTGGGAAGGTGGCTCAGTGGTTGAGAGCTTGCCTAGCATGCATAAAGCCCTGGGTTCAACTCCTCAGTACTACATACACAGAAAAAGCCAGAAGTGGCACTGTGGCTCAAGTGGTAGAGTGCTAGCCTTGAGCAAAAGAAGCTCAGGGACTTCTAGATAATTTATTTTGCAACACATTACTGCACAGTTGTAAATAACTTATGTACTGTAACATCACTTTCAGTTATGTGTAAAGAAATTAATTAATTAAAAGGTTTAAAGAGAAAAAAAAAGAAGAAGCTCAGGGACAGTGCCCAGGCCCTGAGTGCAAGTCAGGACTGGCAAAAAAAAAGAAGCAGCAAACTGCTTATAGTTCTCTGAATATTTGTTCTTTAATCAATATTAAAACTGGCTTCTATTTCTCTCCAGAATTTCTGCTTACCTTCATATCTTCCTTTAATTAACACAAGTATCTTTCAGTGTTCAGCTCAATTCAGTTCAGCTCTTTCTGGAAAATTTCTATGCCTTCATTAGGGTCTTGTTCAAGCTGTCAAAGCTGCTGGTATGTACCTTTAAGGGAACTATTGCAATTATTTTCTTGTCCTTTTATTTATACTGACCACTTCTTACACATTAAATCAGAACCTCTAAGAACAGATATCTCAGGCTGGGAAGGTGGCTCAGTGGTAGAGTGCTTGCCTTGCATGCCTGAGGCCCTGGGTTCGATTCCTCAGCACCACATAAGCAAAACAGAAAAGAGCCGGAAGTGGCACTGTGGCTCAAGTGGTAGAGCGCTAGCCTTGAGCTGAAGAGCTGAGGGACAGCACCCAGGCCCAGAGTTCAGGCCCCATGACCGGAACCCACCCCCCCCCAAAAAAAAAAAGAACAGATATCTCTGTCTCCGTCTTTCTAGTGCTGGGATTAGAGGCACATGCCAAGGCCTGGCTTTTTCCTGGCCATCATATATGCCATCCCTTCTCCTGCATACAGTTGTATTCCTCCCTGTTTTTGCTCAGTGACTCCATACTTACCCTTCAGAACTCAACCCAGATGTCAGCCTTCCCAACCATTGTATTGGCTTTCATGTTCTGATAGGGCATTTTATCTCAAGGACGCAGGATGTGATATGACTAGTCATTTAATGGCTATCGTTTCTGCTGGATTGTGAGCCCCATAAACACAGTAAACTGTCCCTCTGTAATTTTTCTGTGTCACTTTCAGTTCTGTGTGTAGTTCTCTGCACATAGGCGCTCATCAAATATTCATCATAGATTGTGATCACTCAGTGCCATGATCCAAAATTGAATGCTGTATTCGTTTTTAAACTTCAGAATCTTCCTTAAGTTTCATCACGAACAGAAAAAGGAAGTATCTCTTAATGAAATTACCCAAGAAGTTCTTCCTCAACTCTGTTTTACAGAGGGTAATTGGATATTGGCTGTCTGTAATGATAAAAGCTATTAATTAATCTTATGTACTAGTTGTGTGGTTCAAGATAAGGAACTGAAGTCATCAGCAGGTCTTCACTGGTGTAGGTGAGCTCTGGAGAGAAGGCTCACCTTTCTGAGCAGCTCTTTTGTAGAAAGGTCTAGGTCTGCATGTCTCGTGTGTACTTAAGAAACTTTATAAGAAGTAGATATACGTCTCTGTTTTTGAAATCTCTGACTTCCTGCTTAGCTGACAACTGATTATTTTGTGGGAAAGCAAAACTCAGCAAATACCTAAAATGAGCAACCTAAGTTTTGAGGAGCAAACAAAACACACCGTGAATGCTCTTTTCAAAGACTTCCTGACACCATTACAACCTGCTAACCAGAGTGGTGGAATGGAAACATACTCAGGTAAGACTCCTGGTGTCAGGTGGCAATGACATGTCCATAAGAGAATGGAGTCTGCTTTTTATTTCCTCCTAAGTTTCTAAAGGCAGACTCTAGCCAGGTGCTGGTGGCTCGCGCCTGTCATCCTAGCTATTCAGGAGGCTGAGATCTGAGGAGCATGGTTCAAAACTAGCTGAGGCAGAAATGTTTCAGTGAGACTCTTACCTTCCCATTAACTGCTCAAAAGAGCCAGAAGTGGCGCTGTGGCTCAAAGTGGTAGGCCTTAGCCTTGAGCAAAAGAGCTCAGGGACAGTGCCCAAGCCCTGAGTTCAAGCCCTCACCTCAACCTATAGAAAAATAGGAAGGCAAACCAAACTTTTAGCGACACTGGAGGAGAAATGAATTCTAAACGCAGGAAGACTGTCAGAGTATTGTTGTTAATATTTGTGTGTGTTCTTGGTACTTGGGTTTGAGCTCAGAGCCTCACTCTCACTTGGCTTTCATTTACCACTTTTGGAATATGGCTCTTACGGGGATGTTGCAGTCCTTGGGAGAGAATAGTACCACAATTGTTATAAAGACTAGAGAACTCTGCCCCGTTGCCCAGATCCTGAGCTCATCATCCCTCCCAACATTGTGACAAAGGTGTTTGCTCTCTCAGGAGAGTCTTGGCTCTTCCGATGTAGCTGTCATTGTTGGTCACCTTTGGATGTTGGGTGACCATTACAATGGAGACTTGGAAATGTCTGCCTAACACATTGCAGCCAGTCCAGAAAAGGTCAGGTTTTTATTTCTTGCTATTGTTTGCTGCTGTTCTTGTGTAATTTTATGACTAGGAGAGTTCAGTGAAACTTTGGGGTTTATCTTCATTCAAAGAAATGCCAGTTGCTAATCTTGTGTGTGTCTGTGTGTGCGTCCATGTCTGTGTCTATGTCTGTGTCTGTGTCCTGGGGCTTGAACTCAGGGCCTGCATGCTGTCTCTGAGATTTTTTTTTTTTTTTTTTGGCTGTGGGGCTTGAACTCAGGGCTTGGGCGCCATCCCTCAGCTCTTCAGCTTAAGGCAAGTGCTCTACTGCTTGAGCCACAGCACCACTTCTGGTTTTCCTGTGGCTTATTGGAGATAAGACTCATGGACTTCCCTGCCCAGGCTGGCTTTGAACCATGATCCTCAGATCTCAGCCTCCTGAGTAGCTAGGATTACAGGCATGAGCCACCAGCGCCCGGCATTGTCTCAGATTTTTTTGCTCAAGGCGAGTGTTCTACCACTTGAGCCACAGCTCCACTTCTGGCTTTTTGGTGGTTAATTAGAAATAAAAATCTTGGGCTGGGAAGATGGCTCAGTGATGGAGTGCTTGCCTCACATCCATGTGGCCCTGGGTTCGATTTCTCAGCACCACATACACAAAAAGTCAGAAGTGGTGCTGTGGCTCAAATGCTAGAGTACTAGCCTTGAGCAAAAAGCTGCTCAGGGACAGAGTCAAAGCCCTGAGTTCAAGCCCCATGACTGGCAAAAAAAGAAAAATCAGGTTTATTTGTCCAAACTAGCTTCAAAACATGATCCTCACCGGGTGTTAGTGGCTTATGCCTGTCATCCTAGCAACTCAGGAGGCTGAGATGTGAGGATCATGGTTCAAAGCCAGCCTGGGCAGTAAAGTATATGAGACTCTTATCTCCAATGAACCAGCAGAAAACCAGAAGTAGTACTGTGGTCCAAGTGGTAGAGTGCTAGCCTTGATCTGAAGAGTTGAGGGACAGCGCCCAGGCACAGAGTTCAAGCCCCACGACTGACAAACAACCATGATCCTCAGTTCTTAGCCTCCTGAGTAGCTGTAGATGTAAGCCCCTGTCATCAGGCCCAGTTGCTGGGCATTAAAATCTAAATGATAAAGAGATGGAACTTTGTGACTCTGTAGGCTGATCAAGCCCCATGACCAAAAAAACCCCCAAAAAACGAAACAGCCGAAAAAGGAAAACAAAACCCAGCCCTTTGAAACAGCCTCAAGCTCATTTGGAAAAATTTAAGTACAAAGAATTTCTAATTATTTCAGAATAAGGAACTGACATGATAATTGATCATGCCTTAATGTTATTATTTCCTTCAAAAAACATTCTTTTATATAACCACAGTCTAATCAAAACAAGAAAATTAACATTGATACAAAATCAGCAGATCCTTAGGTACCATTCAAGCTTTGCCAGTTCCCCCCAAAAGTACCATTTATAGCAGAAAGACTAGGCCAAGCGCTGGGCTCTTGGATCTACTAGAAGTGCTTTTATCTAGTAAGTGAAAGGCCTTAAGTTCAAACTTCAGGACTACAAAATACATATATCTGTCCAAATTATATATTGTTTAATTATCATGTCTGGCTGCTTCAGTCTGGAATAATTCCTCAGTCTTTTCTTGATTTTTTTTTTTCAGTTGTTCATGGGGCCTGGGTGTTGTGTATGAGCCTTTTCACTCAAGGCAAGTACTCTACCACTTTAAGCCACAGCGCCACTTCTGGTTTTCTAGTGGTTAATTGGAGATAAGAGTCTTACAGACTTTTCTGCCTGGGCTGGCTTTGAACCATGATCTCAGCCTCTTGAGTAGCTTGAATTACAGGTGTGAGCCACTGGCACCTGATTCCCTTCTTTAATTTTTAACAGAAGATCTTACACTTTCTATGACTAGCTTGGAATCAGCCATTCTCCAGGGACTTTTGTTTCTTTTAATGAAGAGTCATATGTAGAAACTAAGATCTAGGTATCCTTCAATATGTATGTATTCCCTTCTTGGCCTGCTTGGGTTCTGACACTCTGCCCTGACTGCTGTTGACTCCTTTATACCCCAAAAGATTTTTTGTGTGTGTCTGTGCCAGTACTGGGTTTTGAACTCAGGGTCTTACTTTCTCTCCTAGCTTTTTTTGCTTAAGGCTAGTGCTCAACCACTTCAATCATACTGCCACTTCGAGTTTTTTGTTAATCGGAACTGAGAGTTGCTCAGAAAGCTCCATGAGACTCTTATCCCCAATTAACCACCACCCTCCTTTAAAAAAAAAAAAAGCCGGAAGTAGAGTTGTGGCTCAAGTGGAGGATGCTAGCTTTGAACACAGTAACTACCGAGAGTGATCAGGTCCTGAGTTCAAGGCCCCAGGACCAAAGGGAGAAAAAGAAAAGTCTTTTGGATTTGTCTGCCCAAGCTGGCTTTGAACTGCGATCCTCAGACCTCAGCCTCTTGAGTAGCTAGGATGACAGGTGTGAGCCACCGGCATCTGGCCCCCCTGTACTTTTGAGTGCTACTCCACTAATGGCCATTCTGTCCTCAGTTGGAAGCTATACTCTGGCCTGGTATGCTCAGGATTCAAGCTTCTCCCATGAGAGGGCCTTTCTTGCATTGTTGGTGAAACTTCTTGAATCTGTGGCCCGTATGGCTCCTAAAAAATGTAGAGCAGCTGACTGCTCCAGTGGTACACGTAATCAGCAGGAACAAGATCAGTGGGACCAGAGCCATCCAAGAGTTCATCCAGAAAAAAGGAGGATGGGTGAGTTTCCTGGGAGACCCTGGCTTTGCTAGGTATTTGCACTGTTTAGCTAGTTATTAGGTCTCTGTATTATGACCCTTGTTTAAACTTGGAAACTAGTCTCAAAAAGAAGTCTCTTTACATTGCAGTATTTTGTTGCCAAGGAAAGAGGAATGGGCAGCAGCTCAGCTGGTAGGGTTGGGCTTCTCAGCCAAGTTGCTAACATGTCACGGACGTCCTCTGTATAACTAACCTCAACTTCAACACAGTCATTGAAATTCACTGGTGGTGTAGTTCTAACTGCAGCCTGACTTAACTCTGCTCCTTGGTAGATTTCTTTTTGTTGGTGGTGGTGGCTGAGGGGCTTGAACTCAAGGCCTGGGCACTGTCCCTGAGCTCTTTTTGCTACCACTTTGAGCCACAGCTCCATTTCCAGTTTTCTGCTGGTTCATGGACTTTCCTGCCCAAGCTGGCTTTGAACCACGATCCTCAGATCTCAGCCTTCTGAGTAGGTAGGATGATAGGCATGAACCACTGGCTTCCTTGGTAGATTTTTTTTTTTTGGGTCCAGTCATGGGGCCTGAACTCTGGGCCTGGTGCTGTCCCTCAGCTCTTCAGCTCAAGGCCAGTGCTCTACCACTTGAGCCACGGCGCCACTTCCGGCTTTTTTTTTCTTTTTGCTTATGTGGTGCTGAGGAATCGAACCCAGGGCCTCAGCCATGCAAGGCAAGCGCTCTACCACTCAGCCACCTTCCCAGCCCTCCTTGGTAGATTTTTAGGTCTTCTTTCTGACTTATTATTTTTTTGGGTGTTAATATCAGGGGCTTGCTTCTTTTCTCAAGGCTGGTGTTCTACCACTTGAGGCATGCTCCAGTGCCAGCTTTTTGTTTGTTAATGGGAGATAAGATTGTCTGCTCAGGCTGGCCTCAAACCTTGATCCTCAGATCTCAGCCTCCTGGGTAGCTGGGTTTACAAGCACCATGGCTTGGCTCATTCTGTTGTTTCTTGGACAGTTCCTAAAACCATCGCTTTGACTGTAGGTTTTCTTTTTACAGAAAGCTGGAGAGCAAAGAAGAGTAGTTCTTCTCTTGACTGGACGTACTGCCTCTTTGACTAATCAGGACATTCATAATTTCTGGTCATTAAAAAGACAAATAAATCATCTTTGCCTGGGCAGAACGCAACCTAGCTGAATAAAATGCAACCTTGCTGAATAAATTGTTTTTTACTGATTGGTAAAATTGGGAGCAGCTCCCAGGATTCTACAGCGCTTTTATACTTTTGTCTTTTGCATGAGATTTAATGAGGGTTTGTTGAGGCGAAGCCTTCTAGGGACAAAGTAATGACTTGTTATTAGTGACATTCCAAGCCACTGAGTAGGCCTGAAACACAGGACAATGGAAACTTTTTTCAGATTTAACCCAGTCTTGTCTGGGTAATTTATGCAGCCTAAAGGATCCTCAGGAAAGTTTTTAGTTGAAAATTGTTATTTTATGTTGAGTATTTTTTTTTTATTGTGAAAATACTGTACAGAGGGATTACAATTACATGGGCAAGATAATGAGTACATTTCTTCTCAAGCATTGTAGCCTCCTCCTTTGTTTCCCCTTCCCGTCCCTTCCTATCCTTCCCTCCCCACCCCCCATTCCCCCCACCAAAGTTGTAAAGTTCGTTTTTCGACATACATGTTGAGTATTTTCTTTCAAATGTATCCCTAAATTTCAAGTTGCTTTCACCTGCACAGAAAGGTAAACGTAGCTTCGTTTTAGAGTTTAAAGTCGAAGGCAGCAACTTATTCAGCTACTCTTCTATTAGAAAGGTTTCTGCATTTTGTCACCACAGGATGCAGGAAGTACCAGCCCACATCTGAGACAGTTGGACACAGCAGCATAAGTGAAGCCATCTGTGCAGAGCTTTTCTCAGTGTGTTTCTCAGGCCAGTTTGTGAACCTTATTAAATTGCTGATTAACAGTTGTGGCCTTGCCTGTAATCTTAGCTAATCTGGAAGTAGAGGCAGGATTATCTCCCGGCTAGCCTGGGCAGTTCTTGAGACTCAAAAATAAACTTTGAGAAAAAGGGTCAGCATTAGCTCAAGTGCTTACTTCCTTTTCCCAGACTTCAGCCACCCAACCCACACCTGCGCAGGGTCTCCGAGTTCCAGCCCCACAGATCCCCAGGGCCCGGGAGGCTGCCTCTTCAACTCTACAGGTGATCCTCATGAAGCCAGGTTTTGTGCAGGAGTTGGCAAGTCTTCTTTTGTAAATACTTGGTGTTTTGTCCAGGGCTGCCTTGCACAACAACAGAGCTGAATGGTGATGCCAGATCCCACACAGCCCAACAGAGCTGAAATATTGATGAGCTGCCCCTTTTTAGAAAGCCTTGCTGTTGTTACCTGCTCTAACTGTCTTGGTAACTGTCTTGGGCTGGGAAGGTAGAGTGCTTGCCTTGCATGCATGAGGCCCTGGGTTCAATTCCTCAGCACCACATAAGCAGAAAAAAGCCAGAAGTGGTGCTGTGGCTCAAGTGGTAGAGTTCTGGCCCTGAGCTAAAGAGCTGAGGGACAGTGCCCAGGCCCAGAGTTCAGGCCCCACGACCAACAACAACAACAATAACAACAACTGTTAGTCTTGAGCCACACCTCCACTTCTACATTTTTGCTTGTCAACTGGAGATAAGAGTATCAGATTGTGGGGCTGGGAAGGTGGCTCAGTGGTAGAATGCTTGCCTTGCATGCCTGAGGCCCTGGGTTCCATTCCTCAGCACCACATAAGCAAAAAGAAAAAAGCCAGAAGTGGCACTGTGGCTCAAGTGGTAGAGCGCTAGCTTTGAGCTGAAGAGCTGAGGGACAGCACCCAGGCCCAGTGTTCAGGCCCCACGCCAGACCCCCCCACCAAAAAAAAAAAAGTATCAGATTGTCTTCCTTGTTTTTTTTTTTTTTTGCCAGTCCTGGGGTTTGAACTCAGGGTCTGGGTGCTGTCCCTGAGCTTCTTTTGCTCAAGGCAAGCACTCAACCACTTGAGCCACTGTGCCACTGTCGTTTATGTGGTTTTGAGGAATAGAACCCAGGGCTTCATGCATGCTAGGCAGGCACCCCATCACCGAGCCACCTTCCCAGCCCCTACACCCAGCTTTTAATTATCTTTTGAATGGAACATCAGACCTCAGCAAGAGTGCTGACTTCATTAAATATAAATTGTTCAATGACAACTTATCAGTTGACATTTGCCATTTGGCATTCTGAAAACAAAGGCAGGAAATGCTTTACTGTGTGGTATATGGGAAAGGACTGAAGTCTGCGGCAGGCGAACCAAGGAACTTGACGGTATCTCCAGATGTTGTACAGAGCAGCGGCACACCAGGGATTCTACTGTGGATGGCATAAAATGGGACAGACCAGCAAGTTAGAGGTGTTTTGTAAGCTTCTTCTCTGACCATTACAAAAGAAGAATCTAGACCGTGTGCTGGTGGCTCACACCCATAATCCTCACTACTCAGAAGATCTGAGGATCAAAGTTTGAAGTCAGTGAACTCTTTCCACCAGTTAGTCATAAAAAAAGCCAGAAGATGATGGAGGGTGAGAGGAGGACACAATCAGAGAAAAAAAGGGTGAAAAATTGCAGCGGTGGGGCTGGGAAGGTTGTTCAGTGGTAGAGTGCTTGCCTAGCATGCATGAAGCCCAGGGCTCAATTCCTTGGTACCACATACACAAAAGGCCAGAAGTGGCGCTGTGGTTCAAGTGGTAAAGTGCTAGCCTTGAACAAAAGCAGCCCAGGGACAGAGTCTAGGCCCTGAGTTCAAGCCCCTGGACTGGCAAAAACACAAAACTACAGCACTGGCCGTATGGGACATGGATGAACGTGAACTGTGCAACTCGTGGGTGGAGGCAGAAGGGCAGGAGTGGGAGAGCGAGGGAACAGATGACACTGCCAAAGGGGATGTACTTGTCATCTGACTTGTGTAACGGTGCTCCCCTGTGTACAGAGGTACAGTTCAGGTGGCAGATCCAAGAGTACAAAGCTGGGGGGAGAGTGCCTGTGTCCTGAGGACCAGTGCACAGGAGAACCAAGTTCCTGCTAGAGGGGAAAGGACTTGTTTCCTTGGGCCCCTCCAGCTTTTCTGGGTCTCTCTCTGGCTCAGAGTCTTGGAGACCCCATTCCTTCCATAGCAGTGGTCCTGCCAGCTTCCCAGCTTGGGGAAAGGAGGGCATGAGGATGTCTATTGAACACAGTGGCACTCTTCAAAGTCCAGAAGCAATGTGTGCCAGGCAAGGGACCTTAGAGTAATGGGTGTAGTGAATAGTCAAGGCAATAGGTTTTACACAAGAACCTAACTATGTAATATGCCTGTTTTAGGTGCTGTGATGTATTTTGTTTGTTTGTTTGTTTTGGGTTTTTTGTTTTGTTTTGTTTTTTGTATGTAGCAGTATTAGGGCTTGAACTCAAGATCAAAGTACTTTCCCTTAGCTTTTTTGCCCAAGGGTGGTATTCTACCACTTGAGTAATACCTCACTTGTGTTTTTGCTAGTTAATTGGAAACAAGAGTCTTTGAACTGAGATCCTCCACTCTTAGCCTCCTGAGGAGCTAGGATTTACCAGCATAAGCCACTGGCACCTGGTTCTTTTAGGTGTGTTTAAGACCATTTCAAGCATTGGGGTTTATATAAATGTCATAGAAGACAGTATCATTGATAAACTTACTGCGAAGCTGAGCCTGAGTTTATAAGTTCTTGTAGGGTGTGTATACACATGTTCTTGCATGCACACACACACACACATGCAAAACAGTCTGCAGAGAGTATTTTTCATGTCTTTACAATAAATTCTAAGGAACAAGGAACATGTGAAGAAACTCAGAAAATGTCTGAAGCCATATGTAAATAATACTTCAAGGACCCAGGGTAATTGAAAATAAGAGTTAGATGGAGTTAGGGAGAAGTGCTGGCTTGGTGGCTTTATTTTTAGCTTGATCAAAGGTAAGAAAACAGAAGAGGTGCTAGAATGAACAAAGTCTATACCATGTGGGTGAGGACGGGTTTATGATGATGAATATGAATTATTCCTGTAGCCCACCAGGATGGGTTTGGTTCCTTTACATGGAAGCAAAGTTATAAGGAATTCCATCCAGCTTCCATGGCCAGGAAATTCTAGAATGGAAGAGGTCTCGGCAGGAATATCACCTGAGAGTTCACTGCTGCAGGAAAGTAGACACACAAATGGGAAAGATGCTTAACAGGAATGGTAAAGACGTGTTAAATCTAAATGGTACTGAGAAAGGACAAGAGAATGAGTATGAAGGACTGTTTCACAGATAACTTGTAACCCACATTAGCTCAAAGGTCCTCAGATGAAGGGAAGGTGAGAATAATGAATTAAAGTTAAGATTTTTTTTTTTTGATCCATCGTGGGGCTTGAACTCTAGGCCTGGGCACTGTCCCTCAGCTCTTCAGCTCAAAGCAAGCGCTCTACCACTTGAGCCACAGTGCCACTTCCGGCTTTTATTGTTTATGTGGTGCTGAGGAATCGAAACCATGGCCTCATGCATGGGAGACAAGCACTCTACCATTGAGCCACCTTCCCAGCCCCTAAAGTTAAGATTCTCCCAGGTAAACGCTCTGGCACAGAGAAGGTGCTCTGAGAAGCTGGAGCGGGTGTCCTCTCTCAGCTGCCTTGATCATCACCATGGAGATCTCCTTGAAGTTGTTTGTTGTCTCCTTCCTAACTTCTGGGATCTCTCTCTCTCCTATCTCTTTCCTTCAACTCAGGGAGCCTAGGTGCTGTCCCTGAGTCTCTTTGTTCAAGGCTAGTGCTCTAACACTTGAGCCACAGTGCCACTTCTGGTTTTTTTCCTGTGTATGTGGGACTGAGGAATCGAACCCAGAGCCTCATGCATGCTAGGCAAGCTCTCTACCACTTAGGCCACTTTCCCAGCCCTGACATTCTGGCCTCTTGGTGACTTCCAGTTGCCTGTCGGCTGCCTTTTTTCTGAACCCTCGAGCCAGCAGTGAAATCACCTCTGCCTCACTTCCCAGGTGCTTATATACCAGCTCAGTCTTGCTGGTTTTGGCAGTGTTTGCAAATCTTATTTACTTATTTTCATTTTTTATTTTTTGTCAGTCATGGGCCTGGAACTCCAGGCATGGGAGTGGTTCTTCTCTTAAGCTCAAGGTGAGCACACTACCACTTGAGCCACAGCACCACTTCTGGTTTTCTGGTGGCTGATTGGAGATAAGAGTCTAAGGGATTTTACTGCCTGGGCTGGCTTTGGATCACGATCCTCAGATCCCAGTAGGTTTATAGGTGTGAGCCACCAGGTGCAAATCTTATTTTGTTT